CAACTCTACTGACCAGATTGACCAAATCGATCAAATCTGCATCTGCTCAGGAACTTTTCGCTAGAAAGTTCATTTTTCCTTGTCTTCTCGAGATCAGGCAATGCGATACTCACCGAGCGCTGTGAGGAAATCAAAAATACTCGCTAGTTAGGCTCCGACCGTTTTTCGGAGTCCAGAACTACCGTCCATCACGACGTCGCCGACCAATAGGCGTATGCGTACTACCACTGTCATTTTCTGAGAACTCTCGGATTCTCAGGGATTGTTCCTCCGTGCGACGGAGAGTTCGAAAGGGATATCGACCTAATCAAAACAAACCCTGATCATGACCTGTTTCCTCCATGGGTCCAAAGAGAAATCGTTGGTTGCCCTGGACCGATGCCCTTCTTCTGCTTCCAAACGCGCTTTTCTTTTATACTGACTGAATGGTCTTTATGGGGCCACAGAAATCTTGTCGAAGGTGAATGAAACAAAGGACGGGGAGACGAAAGGGAAAGCTTGTCTCAGATTCTGATCACAGAAAAGCGGAGCTCATCTGGATTATTCTCGCCGTGTGCGTTTAGAAAGCGTTTGGGAGCGAAATTCGAAACGCGACACGATTCGGACAGCGCAGCAGTGCGATATTTACACGGGCGGAACCATCACAGTTATTCGTCACGGAGTATCAGTCGTGCACCGATTCGCGCATGGTGTTCTTTCCGGACTGGGGAGCGTCCGAAGCATCAGAAAATATCGACAAGCGACCTCCACTATCTTACGAAACATATCGAAGATAGAAGCGATATCGGTCACCGATAAGTGTGAAAAATGTCACGAATGAAAGGGCATCTCACGATTGAGAATCCCGAAAACGGGAAAATGTGACCTCCTCGCTTCATTTCCAGAGGCGAACGTCCGCTGGGCATCTGCGGCGCCGGGTCCATTGTTTACCGGTGACGTCCGCACTGCTTTGAATTGGTGACAGAAGCTCACGGCTATTTTTCAATCGCATGCGCAGCCACTTACCCTGAAGCATTGCAGTAGTAGAGCGCGTAGAAAGTCTCATAGTGAGTATCTCTGCCGAATTCCATTTCGGCTTTTTCGTTCATTGGAACAGTCGAAAGCGAATTTTGGTCCGAGTTGTCGTTGTCAATAAAGCACAGGTCTCCTCCACGACGAGGTCACAGGCTAAGTGTCGCTAGCGCCAACTCAGCGACCTGATCAAAAATCCACTGCTCAGCCAGTTGACCAGAGCGCCTGAGTTTCTCTGACTTCTTCCGTGTCGACTCAGAGGCTCGTCGATTTTGCTCGCTGAGAGCCAGCCGGGAGGAGGCGCTTTCTCCGGAGACCGTCTCGACTATTGCAATCGAACGCGTGGCAGCGGTGGTCGTGATTCGGAGCGAGTTCGAGCTGGTGGCGAGCCGCGAGTCCGTGAGCGGTCCGTTACTTTCGTCCGGCCCCGTCAGGCGACACACGGATGAAGGGACAACGGAGCGATACGCCAAGCGTCCCCATGCTTTTCGGCAGAGCACCGCAACAGCTGACTGCCGAAAGGCGCCGCGCCGTTCGCTGGCTGGATTTGCGGAGTCGCCTCGTTGAATGAACAGACCAGCGAACGGCTGACTAACTGAAGGGACAGCGACCGGCTGTCTCGTGAGTCGACCGCATCGGTTGCCATGGGTCGGGGAGGAGGGACGTAAACGCGTGTCTGCGAGAGAGAAACAGCCAGAGTCAGAGCATGAGAGAAAGCGGAATAGCCGACGAAGGCGCCCGGCAGCGAATTTTGTCGATCGGACGCGTCCGATCGGACGTCGCGGTCTCTCCGGGAACGCTGGCAACCGGACCTTGGGAACGAATATTGCAGCGTCCAACCGGGAGATCGAAGCATAGGTAACGTGAGACGCTGAAGTAAAAACACTTCGCATGTGAAACGTTCGGTCACCGCCAAAAAGAAAATTATCGAAAGCAAATCAGTATCGGAGCCAGGTCTCCCATACGAGCTGAGCAGCCTGGGAAAGCACCGGCGCGAACAATAGTACTGGCCTAGGCTGTCCGCCGTTTGAACGTGCGTAGGGGACTCGCCGTTCACATTTTCCCGACAACTCGAGCCCAACGGCACTCCCGCTCATTGACACTCTCCACTCGATTGCGCATGGAATCTGAGGTCGCGGCCGCTTCGGCGGAACTCAGAAGGTAAACGAAAATTCATTCCCTGCTACCCATTGCATTCATTTTCAAAAGTATCGGCACTCCCCGGACTCCCCTTCGGAGGGCGCGATTCCAGATTTTGGACCAAGCACCCCACCAGACGGGTCGTCCGAAATCGAAGGGGGAGTCATCGAAGCGGCCGCACCGTGATAGACACGGGGACTCGGAACATGCTGGAGCGGGGTCCGGCCGGAGATTGCAATGAGCATGCGGGTACCGATGACTCATATTCGTTATTTGAAGAGACCTGTCAGATCAGGTATGGCGAGGGAGACCTTGCTCCGGCGCCTCCAGAGATCTTCATGAATCGTTTAATTGTACTCTTCTTTCTGAGGGTTTGCGAGCATCTCAATGAAACGTCACACACATACGGTCTGGGGAATCGGAGAGGCTGCTCTGTCTCGTTCCGTTTCGGTGAATTATCTCCGCGAGAGGATTCACCTCTTTCATTTTTTGCCGGTCACGTCAGCTGCTAAAGACTCGAGACGTCACCTTTCGGGCGGTCAGGCTTGGGTGCCGTCTGGAGTCTAGACCACAAGGAGGATCGCAAAGATTATTCCCATCGTGACTCGTTGAGCTTCGGCCCGTCGCGATTTCGCGAATTTAATCATCGAAACGATGAATGTCCGCTCAAATGACGAAAAAGGGTTCATGATCCTTTCTCTATACGCATTCCTCGCCAGTGAGAAGGGAGAAGGTCGGAGACGACCGCCTCGCGCCCCAAAGTTTAAATCAGTTTTAGAAGTTCCGTGATGTCTTGCAGTGTCCGCTAAAATGTGTTCGGGGCTTCTGAGGGAAATCTACGTCGATCTTCGGTGAGCTTGCTCATCTGACGAACGAATGGGCTATCGTCTCCGGTGAAACTTTTCGGGTCCGGCTGGGGGCTACGGAGTCGCAGACGAAGAAGAAGCCCTCTCTCTCGTCTGACTGACGAATTTTTTTCCGGTGCGCATTGGATCATTTCAGCATTGGGATGAAAATGTAGCTCGCGAGAGACATGCACACATGTGACACGACAAATCATAAATCCGAATTAATAAATAAATCGAAAAATGTTTCTGTACATATTTGCGACGAGTACTAAGAGTGCCGAAAAACTGTCGAAAAAGATTTCTGTATATACTAGCCGGACTAGAATCGCCGTTTTGTGAAACCATGAGACTGTATCTGAAAGCCGAGATGACCCCAGAGTTACAAAGCCACAACGACGAATGGTCGCAGAGACATAACGACGCTAAATCAATATTGGAAGGGGATCCGATTCTCGAAAGGAGAGACAAATGGAGCACTTCGAGATATCCCAAAAGACACGTGTACACTCGTTATCTCGTCCATGGGTATCACCACCTCCTATGTAACAAAAGCAGCAAAGACAACTTTCATGATCCGGATGACTCGTGTAGATGCATACATTGCGGTGAAGGTTGCCCAAGATATCACGCCCTCGTTTGCGAAATGGGACCAGGGCTTATGAATATGGACTGATTTAAAGTTCTACTGTGCAATAGCATGCAATAAACATATTATATATATAAATCCGAATTGTCGCGGATTTCCCACCGTTCCCCGAGGCTCAATCGGCGCGCCCCTCTTCGGGAACGCTTGTCTCGTCCCCGGACGATCAGCGATCAGATGAGGATACGATGATAAAATATTCTCCTAGGTACTGACGATGGACGGATGGATGAGCGAATGAGGAAGAAAGCAGGCAGTGAAGGACATCACTCTCGGCTGCCACGAATACGGGCCGAAGCTTGTCTGCTAGATAGCGGGTACAGCGCTTGAAGTGTCACCAGACTCCGCGGTCGTCCCGCTGGGAATATCCAATTATTATGAACTGAACAGCGACAAATAATATACAGAGGCCACAGCAAATGGGGATTTTGTTTTGCCTCTGCTCTCACTCAGTCAGACCTAAACACCGCAAGCAGCCCATTGCCATATTCTCCAAATTGGAGGTATCCACTCAGATGTTGCCGCTTCTCGTTTCTGGAATGAGGCGTAAACCGATTCCACTTTTTTCCCCAGTTAAACGACGTCAGATGTCGTCATGCACCGACGGCGTCCTTTAATTATAGAATGTATTACCCAGGCACGTGCCGCGTAGAAGTCGAGGCATTGTCTTTCCATGCCGTCGACGGTATCCATCGCTTCGAACCCCCGGGAAATCGCGATTCTCTATTAGAGACTCGGAACCTGCCAGCGGGGGCGCTATATGGGAAGTCAGAAAAATTCCACTTATGTGAGGTCGTATCTGATGACGACATAGCCGCTTTGCGGCACTGCGCTCGACAAAATCGCTCTGCTGCGATCCACAAATCATCCGGGAGCAACAAACAGGAGAACAATTGGCTGCAGATTCCAGCCTCAGCTTGGAGCGCCTGTGGAGGATTGGAGTCAGAGTACTACTCGCGCTCGCGTTTCCTGCAGGCTTTTCAAAAAAATTCCCCCGCTCCCCGCAATCTCAGGGCCCTTGGATTTTGAAATCACGATTTTTCTTGGAGATCCCGCAAGGGAGCGGAACCTCCGAGAATTCACGCTCTCTGGTATCATACCGAGAAATGACAGTCAGCTCACAGTGTTTTCCACCGGAGCGTGGGATAATCAAGAGCTACTCAGCGAGTGCACTCTCCGGCCCGAATGTGCGAGCCCTGGGTGCTCCGTGAGGACGTCGGCGCACATGGTTGATTTATAGTTGTGCAGATTGCTTTCAATGTATCGACGACGGAAGCGGCGGCGCCGTCGCCACCGACGAAGAGGACGAACTCGCGCTGACCATTAATTCCCCGTTTTCCCGTTCGTTTCATTTGCAGGCGTAACGCAAGAGTTGTACAACAAGTGGTGGAAAGCGCCAGGGCTGACTTGTAGCCGCGACGAGAAAAACAAGGAGGGAAAAGCGAACGCCCTCGGCATTGGCAACATTGGCGGCGTTTTCGTCGTGCTACTCGTTGGCTTGGCCTTCGCCATTCTAATCGCCATCTTCGAGTTCATCTGGAATGCCCGGAATAATTCACAGGTGAACTTCCCTATCCATCACGGTCACCTTCGCCGCCGAGAAGGTTTTCCCCTCTTTGCGTCCGTGTTCGAGAATCCCGTTCTCCGTTCAGTCCCACTTACCCGCCGAGCCTCGCTCTAAAAGTTTTTCGATTCCTGATCAGAGTTTCCGCTCCGGGAAGCTACAGGTCCCTTCTTCGTCGCTTCCAGGTCGACCGCCAGTCTTTATGTACAGAAATGGCAAACGAATTGCGTTTTGCCGTGCGGTGTGGTGCTTCGAGACAAAGGCCAGCGTTCGACAACAGCCACTCCAGCAAGAGACGGTGCTCAAAGTGCTTAAAAAGTAAGGAATTTTCTCCCTCATAAATCCTCCGATTCTAAGGCTCTCTATCCCGAACGGTCCTTTCTAACAGCTCTCGTCGATCGCTCCGGAGTTCCTGCGCAAAACTGTCTGATTGACTCTAAACAACTCCGAGTTTTGAGCAGAGGCCAAAGTTCGGATAGTAATCGCAGTTCCGCCAGGGTTCAAACCATCAATGGAATCAATATGACGCTGCGAAGGCTCACACTATCGGTAGCATCCGGAAGATTAGCCAATTAAGGGCTGAAACCCTTATCATGCCAGTTAACGGCTGCCGTCGAAGTCGCTAATCTCGTGTGTCGCCGTCAACGGCGGGGATGGCAATCTTGTTAATTGTAGAGTCGCCGTGGATATCGCAAATAGCTCGATGAAGATGGTGACAAGGTCAACGACGGCGGAGTTCCCGAATTCCCTCGTCGGTCACTAAGAAAAATCACGAGAGCCAAGTCACGACTCGCGGAGCAGGCAGGACGGAGGTCCTGGCTTCTGCCGTATCGTCCGTCTGCTTCTAGATGAGCCACAAATATGTCAGCCGAACTCGAGCTCCCACACCGACTGCCGCAACTTACACGTAGCTCTGCTATCTCAACTCCTCCGCGTCGTCGAACGGAACCGGAGTTCCACAGCTGAACGCACGGCTCGGTCGCTCGTCGGCCAGCTATCTCATTGGATAGAGTGGCCTCAAGCACGGAGGGCTCCGGCGACTGCAACTCGATGTATTGATGCTCCCGTCTGACGGTGGCGGAGAGCGAATTTTCCCACCGGACGACGGGAGGCACCGATTTCCTCGGCGTGCCATAGATAAGTCGCCTCTCTCGCTTGCCGGCTCGTTTATTCACTCAGGAGTTCCTTCGTCGGATTGTCGTCGTCTTCGGAGCGGCTGAATTTCATTCGTTCATGTCGGGTCCATCTGCGTGACGGACGGCTCAATGGCGAGACCGTATCGATTTCATTCGGCTGCCCGACCCGATGCGCCACGCTTTATATAGTCAGCAGCTCGTCAGAGGCTGACAAACGCAGCTCAGTGTGTCATCGTCGCTGCTGTGAGCAATCTAGTTAGCTCAGGTGCGGGGGGCGCTCAGAGCAATGACGGAGCTCCAGAGGTGCGACTCGTCGGACTCATCGGCGGTAGCCGCAACGGGCTGAGAGCAGAAGCTTTGTTTTGAGCGGCCGCCTGCTTTAAGCCGTAGAGATCCGAGTCAACGGAGTTCCGAAGTCGCTAATCCCGAGTCGAGAAGTGCGGATCACGGAACGTTGTCTTTGGTCTCGGATTGACCTCATATCGGGCTCGGTTCCCCCTTCCACGCTACGTATGTACATATCTTGGAGAATTATCGTTTCGCTATTTTTTCCCCCTGATCTCCGCGCGACGCGAGAGTCTACATCCATGGGGCGCTCTACCGCGGATGAGCGAGCTCTTCTCATCGACACGACCGGCCCAAGTGGAAGTGATCCGAGCCTAACCTCGCCGCGGAATTTTCGCCTGCGCCCTGAGCGGCGGAGCTTGCCGACCAGGTCGGTGCTTTTATACGGGTCTGCGCTTCGACAAGCCGGCGAAAGTGGAAATCGAAATTGCTGGCGGCTGTCTGCGCCGACGGAGGCAGTCGGAACGACTAATTGTTGCGCAGACGTTCGGCATGGTTGGAAGGATGTATTGATAAGCGAATGGACAAATGGATGAATCGGAGCGAACAAACCTGTTATTTAGATTTCCGATGAGAGAGTCGTCAGCCTGACCGCCTACACGGACTGGGTGGTCGACTCACCCGTTCGTTGGTGCGGTCGGTCGGTCGCTCACTCACTCAGTGTCAGAGCGACCGAACTACCGACTAACTAACTAGGTAACGGTCAGGCTCCTGCGCAATGTGTCCACAGCAAGTGTCTGATTCAGTCGGGTTCCACGAGCAGCGATCAGAGGAGAAGAAGACGGACAGGAAAGAGGATGGAGGACCCCGAGGAAGACGGAAGGATCAACGACAAGGATGCAACGCAGCACAAACGTTGCGAATGGCTCTTCGGGGTGTCTAGCGAGGAACAAATAGAAGGGCCCAATCGTTGGCTCCGAGGACGAGCATCGGTCCTAAAAGACGACGAACATACGAAGAGTCAACGAACTATACAGCGGAAAAGGGTACTAGGTGCTAAAACATGATCTGAAATTGATGAGCTCCGCTGCACTCTGGGGACCAGTTTGGTCTCTGTCCCAGCGGCTATCACTTCCAACGTCGTCGTTGTCGTCGTATATATAAAGATGTTGTTGATGTTGCTTCTGCTACTAGACTGTCGTCTACGTTGACGTTTTTGTCTACTTGATCAGTGTACGGCCCCCGTAGGTCTGTTTCAAAAATGCACGGAGCTCTCCCCGCGTCGTGAATGTGGCAACGGTCAGAGGGAACGAAGGAGGGAGCGGTAGCAACAGAACGAGGACGTGTGAAGGGAAAAAAAGAGGAGCTCGCACTTTAGGGAGTGTGGTTGTTAGAGAGGTGCTGCATAATGCACAGAGCTTGAATAGCGGTTGGGTGGCGGCAGTCGGTGTCATCCGTGAATCCGAGCTGCTCGAAAGGGTTCGTCTCTCTCAAACAGATGGATGAATGAATGGAAGCTCGACTGCCAGTTTGTATGCGGGCGATTGAATTCCTTCTTCCACAGTCCGCCCTTCTGCCTCGAGTCGGACATAATTCAGTCCACCAGATGCAGGAGCCGCGGATCCTGCGTGCGCTCTACTCACAAACAGATGGAGGGAACGTCCCTGAGAGATGATAAGAGATAAAAAGAAACAGACGAAGAACCACGAGAACGCGGGCAACGGAGAGCAGACCCTCCGGTCCGCAGCGTGTTTCTCACTCATTCCCCGCATGAATGTGAGGCTGGAAGGAAGGACGACGACTCGTCCAAGCTTCGCTTTCAATACTTCGTCCCGTCGCGACTTGCTAGTCGGAGGATTTGCTGCCTGTTCACTTGCGAGGCCCACTGACCCAGAGATCAGTTTCGCAATTATAATCAGGCAGCGACCAAGCTCATCGAAAGTCCTCAGTTGCATCGACGAACAGAAGACATCGAACTGAAATATTTCTTCGTCAGAGACCACTACGACTAGGAAGACTCAGGCAACGAAACCAGCAGCGTAACCACAGCGTTAGCCGCGGAATGGCCGAGACAGGCCACTGCAGTTTATGAGTTTAGTTATGAGGCCTGGTTCTTGGTGGTACTGTCCGCTCGCTTGCTCGCTCCTGGTTATCTATGAAGACGATGTCGACGACGACTACCACCACCGCCACTACTACCGACTACGATGATGACGACGCTCGGTCATAGCCTATTGCCTTCATGGTTGTCGCTTCACGGTTGTTGGAAGCTGCCGGTCGGGCAACGTTTTCCCCGATAGCCCCGCGAACCAGCACCAACCTCCGACCCGCAGCTCCGCATCCCTAACATACAGTACCTCATGAAGCCCCTTTTCCCTCGGCTCTCGTTTCCCAGAGGCAGAGCGCCAGCTCACCAGACGTTGGCTGATCGTCCCGGGGCTGGCCCGGGTTGGCCGCCACTTGCCGCCGCCAGCGAGAAGCGAAAATGAGCTCCGTTCTGTCGGTGGTTGACAAGAGCCGTCAACGACGCGAGCCATCATCGATGATCCGTCATTCAAAAACAGCGGAGAGTCCCCGAGCTACAGATGTATCGCTCCGAGAGCATGAATACAGAGATGGGGGGTCGATCGAGTCTCTCTTTCTTTGAGCTTTGAACATCGTCTCTCCTCCTCGCGACTAAAGAAATCGGAGAGCCAGAGCGTGAAAGCGTCCGGGCCCCCTGTCACGCGCTGAGTCATCGTTTGACTTTCTTGCAGGTGGTGGTACATTCGTGCCGTCCGCTTTGGACCTCCCGTTTCCTCCTCCGCCCCCGTTCCCGAGCGGTATTCACCACCACCATCATCGGGAAAACGGGCCGATCTGCGTCGGAATCGGTGGAATGGGCGGAGGCCGTCCACCTTCGCCATACGATTACGACGATACCTAGCATCAGGCCCCGGAGGTCGACAGCAGCGTCGCTTCCACCTCCAACTACGAGATCAATCAGCAACAAGCGCCGTGCAGCCAGAGAGGAGACGGCCGCTTTGCTACGGTGAGTTCCTGGGTTTTTCTTTCCGCCCAAGAGGTCCTGTCCGATGTACCTCCGCATGTACACAATATGCAGCTCTGCTACCTCGATTTCCGGCTAGGTCTAGAAGGTCTAGGACGAACGACGAGAATCCGTCGAGAGACGCTTGTTTCTAAGCGAAGTTTCTGAGCGCGAGTCGTGGTCGGGAGCTTTCGCCCTGTCACGACTTTCCTCGTGCCTTAACCACGTGGCTCGGAATCCAAACGCACGTTTATGTTTGCGTCCGTATGCTCCGGCAAAACGTCGCCGTCCGAATCCACTGCTTTTACGAACGCCTCGGTGCCTATCGGAACGGGTCGCTTGACGTGGCGAACGTGAGGGTATCTTCAGGAGTGGATACAGCACGTATGATCGTTTCTATTCGGGAACGCAGGACAGCCATCTGAAAGTCGTGTAAGCGGTGAATAAATTTGTCTGCGCCGCTGCGCAGTCTGGAAGATATCGTTCGGGGGAAACTTCACATTCCCGCTCATCTTCCTCCGAAAGTCGGTCCCCCGATCATCTTTTCCCCCAGTATTCCCCCGCAGGTCTGGCGGCGTCTCTCTGGGCTGGCCGAGCTTTAGGAGGCGGGAAGGAAATATCTCCTCGAGTCTCTCTTTTGGAGAAATTTCGACGGCGCTGACGCTCTTACTGAGACCTCATGGGTAGCCGACAAGTCATGGCGAGCTCGGAAACGGAACGATCGTTCCACGGATGAAAAACCCCGGTGCATCGAACGCTCACAGAACGGACTATTAGCAGAGTGGGAACGATGCGTCGAGTTTCCACCAGCTTCAGGACCGACGAATCGAGTTATGGGGCCCCAGAAAAGAATTTCCCCTGAAGGGCGGATGACTAAGATTTTCACCCAAGGAGGCTCATTGTTCGGGACGTTCGTCGGATTCTGTATGATATGTCATCTTGCTGGTGCTCCGTCACACTGGAAACGCTCCGGCAGCTCCTGATAGACGCTGCCGAATCAGCGGGCGAATACTTGAGGGAATCATGATCGAGGGACCGATACAGGGGGAACGATACTCTGGGATGCGGTATAGAACTGTCGTGTGTGAATGTCAGAATACGTCAACTCATTCACTCGAAGAAGTAGCTCTAACAATCGTATGCCCTGAACTTATTGGAGTTGGATACGACTCACTAATGAAGTCAGAATTCGATGTCTCTGTTTCGAAGGTCTCACGAGTCTCGCGATCATGATGTTCCGTTCGGCTCCGCTCAGACGAGGCAGGATTCTGAAAATCTCCGAGAGAGGCCCTGAAGAGTCGGCAATGCTCGCGCCCATATCGTACTGATGACGACCAGAGATTGTGTCCAAGAGAATACATCTCGAGTGAGCTGATTGCTTCTTCGGATTGCTCTCGGATCTCTCCCCAATTCCTAATCGTATGCGTCTGATTTGACTTCGACGCCTCTTTTCTCGGGCAACCGGTTTCGATTTCGCAGAAAGTGTCCGAGTGTGGAAGATTCTCACTGTGACGGACTTCCGCAGCTGCGGATGTCTCGCTGAGGTCCAGCTTAATTTCCCTCTTTTCATCACTGAGCTGATCGTGGCTATCTGAGGGAGGATCGCACTCCGGATTTTCTCCGGCCCTCGTTTTGACGACACCTGTCCGCGCTTGTTGGGCCACGTGAAATTAGAGGGAGTATGCCGTTCTCATTAGAGAGGATATTGCGTCCGGCACCGGCAAAAGTCAGAAGCTCTAGAGAACTGGAAACAGTCCATGAGAGGAAATCCAATTTTGTCTTCTCCGTCAATTTTTATCCCGTCTTCTCCTTTTTTTGTTGGAGCGGCCATTTCTACGGTGAGACCAAAAAAGAAATGAACAATGGGAAGCTGGGATCTTCGGCTCCCGCTCGGCGTCGTCATCGTCAAGGCCTTCCTTCATCCTCCTCAGGGAATGACAGGATTGTATCAAAAGCACGGAAGAGATGATTTCGTTTTTTTTGCTACCGTCGTCGGTTGGAGGTCTCGACAGCGAGGCGGCCTCCTCCGCGTTCTGAGCTCTAAGCAAATTATCACATAATCCCTCGCAGGATCCCTCGCTGTCAGTGTGCGGCTCTGGTTGGGTCCGCCAATTCTATCCTGAAGGTGTGACGCGGGAGATACGGAGCTAGCCGGCCCGGCTCCCTCGATTCGTACGGGTGGGATTCCGGGTTTCGGTCCCTGTCGTACGGGAAGCCTTCCGGCCCCGATGGGGCAAGGCGAAAGACTATCCAAATCCTTGCATCGGAGTCTTTTAGAATATAAAGGAACTTCGGGAGAGAGGGAGAGACTCGGCGAAGAATAATCGGGGAACGGATTCCATTCCAGATACCTCGTCGCTGCTCTATGACCTCCTTGGGGCCTTATTGTGGAACAGATTTAATCATGAATCAAGCCGGTCCAGGGGCTCGCTGCATTTGTGCACATCCGCCCAGCCAACCGCCAATCACAGCGTATGCATCGCGTTACTTCCTCAATAGTGATAGAAGTATATATCACAATCACAAGCATGGACACCAGTGTTTGTGCTATCATTCCGTGTACAACCGAAATCGACGGCAGGACGCGATTCACGTGAGTCTATTCCTTCTGTATATTTCTGGAGATTCGAGAGCGGGGATATTTACAATATGATGGGCGGAATTTCCTCCGAACGCACTGAGGGTCGACCCGGAGCAACACCGCCGAGAAAGTACCGGATTGATGATATGCTGACCTCTGGCTCTGTCTGCACGGTGCTTTACTTCGCTGTTCGGTCGAACGGATTCGCCTCAGTCCTAGGTCCAATCAGCACACCCAAATGACAGTCATTACTTACATAACGGTCTCGTTAGACTACCAGTCAGGCAATGACCCAGCTTTCAGATGTTTTTTTCTCCTTTTCTCCTTGCTGCCCTCGCCACTATTGGTGGTGTTCGAGATAAAGAACGAAGGGCATTCACCTAATTCACGACGAAGTGGGTCGTTCGGTCGGTCGCTCTGATCCGCGAGCCCTCAGTGAGTGTATCGAATCGAGTTTGATGCTGTTTTAAGTTTGCTCAGTCTTTCGTTCGCTGCCGTCGGCTCCGTCATTCCTCATTCTTGGCTCTGGTCACCGAAACTCTTCTCGAGTAGAAGACATTTCTGAAGCGGCAATAACTCCTCGCTTCTCTTGTCCCTTTTCTTCTCATTGCTGACGTTCGTACATTCGCGAACGACGATGCGAGTCAACTGCAGCGGCTCCGAACTGTGGCCCCGTAGGCCTCGAGCTCCGTCGTTTTGGCACGACGTCCCCAGCTCCCTCTTGCCTGACGGTCGAATCCTGAGAACGGCAGCAGAGAGTGGGGAAGAGGGAGGAAGATACATTCGCATATTTAGTTCTCCTTCTGGGGATGCGGACCATGGACTCGTCAGCTTAGCTTGTCGTCGAGGTCACTGCGTCCTCTGGATCTCCTTTTCCTGTCCATTGCGAAGAGAACATTGTCCCTCGGCCATTCGCTATGATGGACAATTTCGCGACGGGAAATGAAATCACCTGATTGAGTCCGTGAAACTAAAAGCTACGATCTCCTGGAAGTGCGTGCGAGCTCCACGTAAGGATGGATGGGAGGGAGGCTTGCGATGGACGAGCTGCGGATAGGCCTCGCTCAGCTCCTCCTTGCCGGAGCAAACATTGTAGATTCTATATCGACTCGGCCGATCCATTGCTCCCGAGATATGCGCGATCGATACTTTTTGCCTAGCTATCTCGTGATATTCTCTTCCCCCTTGGGGGATATTCCCTCCGCCGCGCAGTTTCCAACCTGCATCTGATTGAAGCTCGTTCAGATTGAGGCACGGTGTTGACTGCGGTTCTCCGAATCCAGATCCCCTTTCCGAGGGTATCTGGCATTGCCTGGCGATTTCGCTCGGTTCGAGGAACCAACCTTGAATACAAAACCAGGAAGATCCCCTCAATCCATCATTATTTCGTCTATGAAAACAATAGAGCACAGATAAAAGGCGGAATGAAGGTGATTGCCGCAAACCGGGCGCTTCCTTCTGTTCCTGGACTGATCTGCTGTGGAGCTGATCGTTCAAGGGGAGCGAGAAGCCGAACTTTGCTTTTGTAAAAAAACGCCTCACATCTAGAGATTTGAGTTGAACGCTGGCCCCTCGCCAGCAGAACACCTTACCAATACGGGTAGGAGGGCCTCTCACTAGGTTGGGAGGGAGAATCGAAAGCAAAATCCAAACGGACCCACGAGATGCGGAGATGAAGGACGGGCCACCAGTAGGTGGCTTGACCGCTCGTCCCCTGCGCTGGTCTCGACTGCGAACCTACTTCGGTCGGCTGCGACTTGTGCATCGATTTCCGAAGAGATTTGACAAAAAGACGCCGAACCCCAGCGATCTGAGACGTCATTTAGTTTCCCGAGTGGAGAGACTTCCTTAAAATGCGGGCATTGAGGTCTGACGAATCGGCTGCGAGATGAACCGTGACCCGTCACCTCTGCTTGGAAATGGACCGAAATATCAAACTACGCCGTGCCGGTGGGATTTCGTTCGCTGCGTGAGAACGCGGCCCTCAGACCATGGAATCTGAGCTCCTCAGGACCCAGGCGCCTTCGGAAATTGTCTGGTGGATCCCCGGAAGAGCCCAAAGCATACTTCAACCATCTCCTGAGGTGATTTGGGACTTTTTGAAAATGTGTGTTGCATCCCCGTTCGACTTTCACGGAAATCCCCCAATTTCCTCTCGGAACGTCGTTGCGCGAAGCACATCCGTGTGTATCCGTTCAGACCTCATACATCGTATCAAAGTCGAGAATCGCTATGAGCTTCGTGTTCGATTCGCCCACGCTCACAGGCTAGGTTTTTTCTTCCCACTCACAATCAGATACGTGAAATAGCCTCTGAG